GCAGGGTTGCTGGATCCAGTTGACCTTGTCGAGGCGAAATGAGCCCCGCCCCCCCCCCTGTAGTGCCAAGGACAGTGTCGAGTATACATCGCATAATTTCGTATCCGATAAGAATCCTTTCCCCCCCCCCCCACTTTCACCTTGAACTGCATTGTGTGGATTTCCAACGAACCGAAACAAAAGTGAGGACTGCATCATACTCCAATATCATAAGTACAGAAGTGCTTATGCAGGCAAGAAAGAAACTGGCGAGTCGAACGGATAACAAAGGAAAAGTCAAAATGAATTTGAAAGGAACGCAAATCACAGATACGTCTTGGTACGAAGTTCATAATCAGTCAGCCCTGGACTCGTGTGCATTTGAAAATCACGTGATTGAACTTCATGAAGTATGTCAGCTACCACTTCAAGGGGAAGAAGCTATAGCTAATTATGGATTCCATTATTTCAATTTTGTTTAACGCGAATACGAGCTGCTGTTGTCAACTTCCCAGCCGGAAATTCAGCTTGCCACACACATTCACTAGTTTTATTTCATGCGACGAAATTTCATTTTACAGGAGATTCTCTGAACTCCGGACTGCCCGATTCCCAGTGCTTGTGTGATTTACAATATTCAGCAACACTGGGGATTAGGCATTCGGCCATGAAAATCTAAGATTACGAATCGTATTTTCTGCGGTTCTGGATTCTTGCGTTTCCCATGACAATGACTGACAGCTCCACGACAGAACGGGATTAGGAGTTGCAACATGTAAGCTAGTAGTACCGTACCTGGCGTAATTGAAGACTAAAATTGTGGGTAAATAAAAGCTAAACACCATACTGGCATAGCTTCATAAGCATTTCGCTGAGACACTGGCAACAGATATGGGAGATCAGAGAAAAAATATGCAGTAAAATTAAGAGCGACAAGGGGACAACAACTAGAACGGATTCGGCTGGAAGGAAAATGGTCACCTGTGAGGAAATCGGCCAGGCTAAATCTTGGAGGCTCTCGTCTTCGCCAGAGGCAAAAGATGATTTCTGTCGATCCACTCGTATCTATCACCCACTGTGTATCGATGACACAGGACGCCAACCCCACTCACGTAATAAAGCGCTCGTCGGTAGAAATTGCCAAGGGACACGAGAGGGAGACCCTGAAGGGTCTCCCTCTCGTCTGAAGGGAGACCAGGCCGCGTCGACTCGGAACCAGATCCGCCAGTCACCTTGCACGGTGACCTTGACGGAGCCGTCCCAGCCGTTCGCTGCGTGTCTGGCCTGCGTGAGCCGCCTCGGTCTTCCGTCGCTTTCGGCTCTAGGCTTCTTATCATCGCCGTCGGCAAGAACGGAAGAAAATCCTTTCTTTGTAGTTTCTTGGATACGCTTTCACTGGAATACGGAGCTCATCCCTCTCGAAGAACGCGTTACCGACCTGTATTCTGGTCTCCGTGTATTCTTATTTGCCAGAATGAGAAGAAATTGCTGATCAGAATAAAGTTCCATCTCTGTATATGGGCATCCTCTGCATCATTTACAAGATCCATTGAAAAAGCGTGGTGAAGTGCACCGATGCGATTCGATACACCATCAGCACTCGATTTATTTACTCGTCAACAAGTGATGCTTTCGTTTGAGACCGACATGACCTCCCTCAATGCGTAACGGGAGTTCCGACCGGAACTCCATCGTCTGTTGCCATAGCGTAAACCTTTCTCGTATCGACACTCAGGGGAAAAAAAAAAATCCTGAAAAGTTGGCGGAATAGAACCCGACGAGATCGATGGGATTCAAAAGTTCGATTACGATAAGTTTCAGCCTCAAACACTAATTACAATTCTGATAAAGTATAGGAAGAAATTAAATTGATTAATTTTTTTGTAAGCAGAATTTAAAAATTGGATGAGATCCCAAGAGGAGCACTGCCTTGATGAGCAAATGGCATGGAAATTAAGTTGGATCTGTTTTAATTATTAGAATACGAAGCATAGTTTTCCCCCATTATGCGTTACACAATTACCACTTTCCTCCAACGTATCGTCCGCATACCTCTCGTTCCGGAATGTTGTGGTGGCCGTGAGCGCGGATGTTAACAAGAGCCTGGCTTACGGAATCCATGAGCAACTTCTTCGGACCTCGCAAGGGTGACGTCCGCATTTGGGCCTCTTCGCCATCACGTACGGCCCTTTTTTTTTCTCTCTTATTCGGTGTAGTTCAAGTTGAATACCTGAAGATTCATTCAAAACAATGAAAAAGTATCCTTGCATTGCATACATTATTTTAAAATACCAGCGCTTCCCCGTATGAACTTCATTCAATACGCAGTTTTGTCGTCTGCTAGTCCATGAATGTCCTTCAAGCAAGAATGTAACATCCATGCTGCAGGCATGGAACTCCGAGCTGCTCGCAAGACTGATGGGAACGCATGAAAGGAAAAACAAATAATATTGGTTGCATAATCGCACACAAAAAAGGTGGAAATAGTGGATAATGGAAAAGGAAGGGACTCGCTACACCTGAAGTTACTCGGGTAAGAACTTAGACACGCGTTCTTTGACTCACCGCCCATCACGGTGTATTGCAGGCTACATACAATCATGTAATCGACAGAAGCATTCAAGTACTGTACGGGGAGACGTAAGCTTAGCGGCAAGATTGGACGAAAGAGGTGTAAATATGGAATCTCAAACAGCATCGTACTCGCCTTTGCAAACGCAGAAGTGGGATCGAGGCGATTCTTCAAGTGACCGAAGGAAGCGGTCGCATTCCACGGACGCGAATGCTTTCAGACTCGCAGTTCAATATATTTTTCGAGAGCTCCGCTGGAGGGCCACGACGGTGCTGCCACCTAACACGTGCAGCGACTAGTGTTATCGACTAGCCTAATTGGAAAGGGGTAGTGAGAGTCTAGCGCCTCCCACCGTGGAATGAGGACATATCATAGGCGGTTTATGGGGACTTCACGATCGAATGACGGTGTGACGAGTGGCCTCGAGTTTTGCGTTAGCTTCCGGCTGCAATCGGTCTTCTGGACCAAGGTCGTATTTAGGGGGGCGGGGTTCATGGGGTTCAAACCCCCCCCCCCCCCCGAAATGAAATCCTAGATACGGCCCTGATCTGGACGACTGAGAAGTTGGCAGGTTTTGGAGCTGTCCTCTTCATCGTGAGCCTTAGGTTTTCTCTCCGGCTTTTCCATCGAATGACGCTGATCTAATGATTGAGTTTGCTGATGCTGATCTGGGCTGGAAAACCGGGATCGAGGTGGCATATCGTACTTTTCTTCTGCAAATGCATCATGGGCAAAAATCCCTTTCACCCTCACGGCTCAACTATTAGCGTTTGCAATATGGCTGCCTTAAAAGCTACTCGAGCAGTCAAGCCAATGTAAGCAGTCTTTTTTTTTTTCCTCTAATCATTTTGTCATAAAACAATTGAACTTAAACCATCCAAAGCTGAGAATTTTGTATGCACCATGCTGTAAAAACCGACCTGGTGGTTCCGCTTCCATAATCGACGCCACATGGTGCAGGACAGTCGATCATTCCCCAAGGACTCCATGCAATTATAACGTTAACTTTTCCTTCTGTTCTTTCCAATCTGGAAATCATCCTTATCCGATATCTCGTTCTTGAACTTTGGCCTTGGTCTCGTTTGCGAGGGGTGGGAAACAGGATCAGGATGATTTCAGGACTGAAGACTTCATCTTATGACTAGGTTCAGCCTTCGTAACGAGTTTTCGGTACTGCTTCATCAATCATCATTCCTATCCTGACCTGTGTGGCAGTCTTGGATTTTGACCGAAAGAGTGAGATCACGAGTTCAAACGGCCGAAACGGAGTTTCTCAGGATTGCTGAACTGATAAGTCTCGACAGGGATCACGAGTTCGGCGATTCGAGATTCCCGGCAAGTAGAGCTGCTATTTCTCGAGATAAAAAGGTAACCGGTTCGGACATGTGCTTTCAATGATCGTGTTCGAACCGACCGCAGACCACGAGGAAGTCCCAGAACGAACTGGGTCAAACAAATGAGCCAAAAATGGGTCCCGTGGCCGTCTCTCGCTAAAGGTGGTCGAAGGGAAAGACCAGGCGGAAGAACGGGAATAGTGGAAAGTACCAGTGACTCGGTTTAATTATGAATAATTGTAAAAACCCGCATACAACGAACAACACTCACTAGTCTCTTGAAGTATCTCAGTTAGACTTCAGCCGAGGCTTGACTGACATTCCCATTGTGGGGCTCATTCCAGTCGTGGTTCCTCAGCCTTCGACAGTTTGTCCCTGATCCAACCGGTCGTGTTGGCACCTCTGACCGCGGAGGCACTTAGCGAATGAACTGTCTAGAAAGAGGATACACAAACCTTGGAGAGTCGGGAGATCCAGTGCTGACGAGATAACATCGAGTCAACCGAGACGTAGAAAGAGGCACGGTCGAGCAGCTGACACGGACACATGCAGCGAAACGAAAGAAACCGTTTTTGTCCTTTCCTTTGCGACAGGAAGGAGGAAACTGGTCATCGGTCGGGGAAAATAGGAAAAAATATGTATTAAATAAATAAAAATATTTCCAACGAGGAGTGGAGGTTGTTGCCAACTACACCTGTCACACGACACTAAACAGAAACATCCCATGACGGTAAAGGCACACCACGCACGCGCCACCACCGACGGAGACCAGAACCCGACTGAGCAGCCGCAGAAGCTTCGTTCTCCCCCGACCGTTCGAAGGCGCTTCCAGAGAGTCTCGGCTCTTCAACCGGCGGAAATGCCCTAGTGGGAGAGCGTCCGCGTGCCCGTCCGGGAGGCTGGGTTCGATCCCAGCCGAGGCCTCACCCAGGCCATCAATTGGGTACACACTTTCCTGCCTCAGCCTGGTGCTAGGCGCTCTTACCCGGCTTATCATGGAGGGAGTGTGGTAATAATTGGGGGATTCCCCAATTATTATTGCTGTATGTTATTATAATTATACAATCTGTGACATATGTATAAATCGGCATTATTTATAATAATAAACTTTTGTTCGGGTTTCTGTAACAGGAAAACCTAGATTGAAGTGCTTTTATTTGCAATCATGGGCAAAATAATGTTTTTTACATGTCAGCAAAATCAACGACAACCCATCCCAGATCCGCTTCCATAATAAATGCAAAGGACTCGATGCATAGTACTAATTGTTAAAGTTCAAATTCTTTCCTTCAACTGAATGTTGGGTGGAATGTTGCCTCGCTTGCTTCACCTCCTTATTCGATATTTTTTTCTTAAAAAACTCTGGTCTTCCAGCAGGAATTTGAGCATCAGAGCTTTTTTTTCGTTTATTGAAGGTTTATTTTCGTTTATTTCGTTATTCGTTTATTTTATTCTTTTTTCCAGGGAGTATGAACTGCAAAATATACACCCTCCATTCGGCTTCTATGTCTATCTAAAGCCCAGTGAGTCCATCGAGAAAGCTCACGATAAATAGCGGTAAGAGCCTATGACTAATTCACCAAAACGAAACAGGGTGAAGTGCTTGTGCTCGGCATTCCAATCGTTTCCATCTAAGTAATCAACGGGATGAGAGGGTGGGGGAATTGAGGTGCAATGCGAAACGAAACGGAATCCCTGAGCAGTTGGATCCCACGTTTCAGAGTATCGACGAGTTTCTTCTTTTCTATTTGGTTTCGGCGGGTTTCTTGCCGCCGTGTTTGATTCGTTCTTTGAGATCCTTGCTTCGATCGGCCAGTCGCTCCACGTCTCGTCGCAGGGTGCTCGTCTCTTGCTCCCTCTGCGGTTCAGGCAGGGGAACGACTCGTCAAGGACGAGAGAAAGGGGGAGAAGGGAAGAGATGGGGGAGGGACTCACGATTCGTTTCTCCTCCTTGATCTTGTCGCCGAGGGTGGTCTTCACCACTTGCACGGCCTCGGCGAGTTTTCTCATCCCGGTCTGCGCGCCTTCCACGTCTCGGGTCAGCTTCTCCTGCGTCACATCGTCGCGATCACGATCGCGAGGCGATGCCAACGATTACGGACGGATTCGCGGGGACTCACGAGAGAGGGTCCTTCGAGGGAGTCCTCCCCGGTGATGCGGGCCAGTCTCTGACGGAGTTGTTGGCATTCTTCCGTTCTCTCCTTCGATTCGTCCTCGATCCTCTTCGTGAGTCTTCCGTCCATGTCCTGGACCTTGTTTCTCAGATCCACCACTCCTCGTCCGCCGCCCTTCGAAAGCACATTCCTCACTCACGCACAACTACACCTCGAGGCGTTCGCAGGATTTTGGAAAGAAAGGGGCTCGTCGGAAGACTGAGAGGGGATGTGTGGTGGGGGGGGGGAGCATGTGAAGACGGACGAAGGGAGAGAGGGGTGGGAATGCAAGGGCGGGGACGAGACCAACGAGCAGAGGGTGGCGGTGGCCCTGACAAACTGCAGCAGCGATGGGGCAGGCCTTGGGGGAGGGGAGCCCCATCTCCCCCCCCCTTCCATCGCGTCTGCCACAGTCGAGATTCATCCCCTCAAAAGTCACGCTTTAGAGATTCAGATAATAATAATAAACCTCTTTGTCATGCGATCCCTGTTCTCTTGTGGGATTTTACCAAAAGTGGAGAATACCAATCGAGAGAACAGACAATTAAAATTGCAGTTTCATGATGATACAAGATCTTGATATCGCCTCTCATTATAAGGGCACTGAAAGGTAACAACGATAAATCAGGTTGACATATTTGGCATCTGCCTGCTTATTGTAAATGGCGTTGCTCGGGGCGTTCTGGGAAACACGGACTCGTATCTGCAGTATTTTCCATTTCAAGCTCCATCAAGCGCTTCCAGGCATACAGGCTTCACGTTCCATAACTAAAACGAAACTATGCCCATTGGAATGTCTGCCCGTTTCCTTCTATGGATCGCTACGAAAGCTCTAGTTTTTTCCTTGATCAAGTTATTTCCCCAATATGAAACTACTTCACTCATCGTCGAGAACCGAGCAAAGCCTACTTTAGTTGGTCGTTCCTGTCGATTCGCGACCTGGATTTTGTTCTGGATTGCTGTCGTGCCGTTCGAATACAAGCCGAATGCCATCCATTCCATATTTCTGCCCTCTCGATTGGGAAAATCCACGTTTGGAACGGTTCCACTGGATGATACAAATCGCATGCAAAGAGACACCTCACGCGTCTCTCACGACACGAGACACCCTATTCGTACCCCTCCGTCTCCTTGCAGGTCCTCCACTTGCTTCTTGAGTCTCTCGTGCGAGAAGCTCAACGAGTCCAGTTTCTGCTCCAATTTGTCTCCGAGGATCGTGGAACTCTCCTCTCCCTTTTGCTGCGCCTGCGGCATCGAAAGTAACGTCACAACCGTGTCGCATCGCGTGCAGTGCGGTGTCGACGCGAAACGGTTCTGACCAGCTTGACACGCGTCTGGAGTTTCTCGTCTTGCTGCTCCACCCTGAGCTGGAGGTCATTGATCTTCTCCTCGAATTCGGCGATCTGACGGGCCGTCGTCTCCTTCACGCCTTCCACGTGCTTCCTCTGCAGTTTCTCCACCTAAAATGGATTTGCTCGATCCCGTAATTACGTTTCTCGTATTACCAACCTTAACGCATATATATATTTTTAAATCGTTTAACATTTCGATTTTTGCAAAATTAATAAACCGAAAAAAAGATTAAGAGGGGCCATCGAGTGCAAAAAGACGATAGAAATAGAAGACCTCCTCGAGAGGGAGGGAAGGCAATCCGTCGGCGTCCTTGGTGACGTTCGCCATCTTCCCTTCACCGATCGCCGTCTGCAGCGACAGCAGTCCGATCCTCAGACGATCGCTCACGTCTTCGATCCTCCCGTCCAGAATCTGTCGCGATCGGAGATCGCTAAGTGAGAATATCGCGAGAAGAAAACGTGGAAGAGTCGAAAAATAAACGGAGAATGACCCTGGCGAGTTTGACGCGTTCTTGTTCCTCCTCTGCGATGTCCTTGGCGATTTCGTGCCTCGTCTGTTGCAGGCCTTCTTCCAGTGCGTTCTGGGAATCCGACAGTTCCTTCAACCGACTCTGAGTCTGAGTGTGCTCTTCCTAGAACCGGGAAGGAGACGCATCGTCTGGCAGCCGTCGCGAGAGCGGGGCACGTCGGCCTTAGAGAGCAGAAGCCTTCACCTGAACGAGTTTCCGAACTCCCTGGATTCCTTCCTCCGTGTATGCCTTCGCCTGGGTCAGTTTCGTGTCGACTTCCTCTTTGACCAGTCTTCCGGATTCCTTGGAGGCCGTTTGCACCTCCACGAGCTTCAGTTCCAGGGCACCCAGCCGACCCAGCGTGTCTTGACGCAGCTTCGTGTCCCTAAGCGAAAGCGAAATCTTTTTTTTTTCTCTCGACGGATCTTTCGGGCGAAACGGCGTCCGCGAGGAATCTGGACCGACTTCATCTCGATGGTCCGCCTGAGGTCCTGCGTCACCGCCGAGACCTGCATGAGGATCTTCTGCTTCTCGGCGTCGCTCATGTTGCTCGTCTCGCGCAGCAGCAGCTCCATCTGGCGCGACTGGGCGTCGCGGCCTCGGCGCGTCTCGCTCACGTCGTTCGACACCTGCTGCCATCTGCCGTGCGTATCCGTCCAGAGCGGAACGAGAACGAAAACGAACGATTTAACGTCATCCGTTTCTGTTTTTGTCGTTCACGATTTGCAGTCTCGGCACTCGGAACGTTTTACGTGACCTTTATGATCCTTTCGTCGTGAAAAAATTGTGCATACTCTAATCCATCCATCCGTATGCATTAGAGGTTAATCTGTCAGTCATTCCAGGAAACTCCTTCTAGATGGATGAACGGATTTTCACGAGTCTGGTGTCAATCGAAAGCTTTGGACCTGGAGGTGATATTTATTGGGTCAAAAGTAAACAATTATTGCTATGCGTCCTCCTGTCTGTCTACGCGTCGGAGGCCTGCACGGGTCGACTTTTCCGAGTCGAAACTCGATCGGCTCGATTCGAATCGTCGCCCGCACCCGACCCAGAACTCGATCACCGACCGAGCTTCTCCGATCCGAGCCGCGAATCGTGTTGGGATGATCTGGTCGGCCCGCTTAGGCCTCTAAGCTCGAGAACACGAGGTCTTTGATGAGACCCCTTGGGGCAAATCCCTCGCAGACCTGCGCAAAAAACGCTCTTGTGGGTGGAACGGCTCGAAAGAAAGGGCATGCTGTGTAAGCAGATAGGGTGCCGAAGCGTGCCTGTGGCATGGGAAACCGTGCAATCGCGAAGTCTGAAACTCATGAAAATACTGTATAGACCGAAAAAAAACCTATTTCTTAGGGATGGGTTGTGTGAAGTCGATGTTCGGCCACCTCTCATCCATATAAATATACGCAATATATAAAAGGTTAATCTGTCCACGTCAGGGTGGAATTCCGGGAAACTCCTCCTGGAGGGGTGAACGGATTTTCATGAGTGAAATGTCAATCGAAAGCTTTTGACCTGGGAGCAATTCTTCGCGGATCAAAAGTCCAAAAAATCTTATCATTTTCCCGTAATAAGGCCGAATTCCGGCGATAAGAACAGCATCGTCCCGAACGCCTTCCCGGGCTGTGTACTCGACAACAAGGCTCGCACTCGACCCGAAACTCGATTGCCGACCGGATCGATCCAAAGCCCGCTTTGGCCTTTGAGCTTCAGAACTCGACGTCTCGGATTGCGTATTCGCTCGCACCCGACCGGAAACTCGATTGCCGACCTCGCTACACGCCCGATGCGACGGGTCAGATCGGTCCCATCGAGACGATCCGCATCTCGGTCGAATTCAAAATCTTCCCTCATTCTACCCGGGCGTTCCAAATTAGAACCGCGCTCTCCCTTTAAGGTCACGGAGCGGAACTCGCTGAAAATTTGCATACAGGCGATTGGGGTTTCCCCGATGACGAAATGCATCTCCGATCATCGATCGAAATTCGAGAGTCGTTTCTCTTTAGAATGCTACGAGACGGGACTCACTGGATATCGTTACATAAGGGAACTCGAGAGCCTTTGACGACGGGAACCGTTTCCCCCTTCTCCATCTGATTCCTGTGAGTTCCAAATTCATTCGGTGCGTCTCATTTCAATACTGTAGGTGTCAATCAAATGCTTATGACCCGGAGGCGATACTTATTGGGTCGACGGTTCCAAAAGTCCAACGACTCTGACATTATACGGCCTAATTTCGGCGATAAGAATAGCAATTTAATGAATGCCTTCCCGGGCGAAGACAACCAACAGAGTAGGAGGCATTGTCGGATACGGAAATGGTTGCTATGGTAACTGCTGGCAATGATCATGTCATAGTTCATATGTCATGATCTTAAGTCATAGTGTGACCGGTCTCGTTGCCGGTTTACGACACTGCTTCGCGTAAATCTACAGCTTCGAGTCAGCGCTCCATTTTATTAATTTGAATTTTGGTGTTGCTCTGAAAATGCCAGATGGAGAAGTTTAAACTATTCTGCTGCGGGAACTACTGAACGTGCGAGGAAGAAAGGCATTCCGGAGTCGCAGTCAGTGGATGAAAGAGCAAAACGGCGTGCAGAAAATGCTGCTTCGCTGGCTGCTTCCAGAAGCGAAGAAATTGAGAAGAGTGCAGAAAGGCATGCATGAAATCCGTTCATTCCACTTACACTAGTTTTTTAATATGAGACATTTTTGCACTAAATAATTTTTTTTTATCGTGTAACCGAGTCCAATGACTTTGTTTCACTCTTCGTGTTGAATACAAAATGAATGACTGATTTCGTGATGTTACCTTTGGAAGAGCTGACCCTCAGCCATCTCGCGGGAGTTTTTCTCCATCATGAACTTTCCCTCCAGGTCCATGAGATGCTGCTGGATCTGGGAGAGCCTGTCGAATCGAACGGCGGTCACCTCGGATCGCGATTGCATTTTCACTTTGGCGAATTCTGCGCTCACCTGCTCTCCAGCAGCATGCTCTGGTTGCCGGACAGTTTCGACGTGTCGGTCGCATTTCTCGTCATCATCTGTCGGTTGGAAGGAGTTGAGCAATTATCTCTACGAAATAGGGGAAAGAAAAATAGGCAAAGCTCCGGTAGCGAGGCCTCTTCCGAGTACATTTCCACAGTGCAGGCAAAATAATGTGGGATATGAAGATGAATCCTATAGGATTTAGTATACTAAAATGGGGCTGCTTTTGTTAATCCAGGCATATAAATGAGTTATTTATTTTTTCGCAAGACATTCCTGCACAATTATTTTATGACTTCATCCTTCCATTAATGCAAGAATGGTTTATTATCTATTTTCATTTGAACCATTGTCGACGAAAAAAAATTCAACGTTGGTTCGCCAACGGTTTCCAATCCGCAACTTGCATTCTGGAGCATGGAAACTGCCCCAGGTATAGACGATGCAATTTTGAAGGTGACTGGGGCGACCACAGTCCAACATTCCTGCAGCTTTTCCAATGTATCATTTCACTTTGTTAGAAATGCGTTAACGGGTGAGAAGTTTAGAAAATCATCGGTAATCAGGGGTGTAGTGGACCACCCGGTAGTAGTGGACCTTTCCTAAGTGTTTATTCCTATAAGATTGCAACTTAGGGACAATTTATTAACTACAAAGAATTCTAGATGTCGCTGACTTTCTGTTAACCCTTGAGGGAAACATCCATATATCATATTATAGATAATAGCCGACGTACTCCTATATGTCCGCCGGAGGCCCGTACGGCTCGATTCTTCCGAATCCGACCCGATCGGTCCGATTCGAGTCGTGGTCCTACCCGACAACTCGACCCGAAATTCGATCGCCGAACCGAGATTTTAATGAATCCTACCCGCGGGTCCGGTCGGGCCGGCCTGCAGCCCGCTTAGGCCTCTAAACTTCGGAACTCCGGGTCTCGGGGTTCGTCTTTTTTCTGAGCGGCTCTACCGGCTCTGCTGAGGCTTGCACCTGACTTCCCATGACGTCACATCGGTGTTGGCCTGTTCGGTGCTCTCATAGTTCACTACGTTCCACTGGTAGTTCCTTGCACGAGAGTGACGTCATTTAATGATCGCATCGAGCGCTGACGGAACGAGGCGTCCTTATTGCCAGCAGCTGTACTGTGAACGGCTCGAGAAAAAAAGACTCCTCTGAGTGTATTCTAGCGCATTCGCCTGCACCCAACATGAAACTCGATTGCCAACCGATCCGCCAGTCGGGTCTGCCTGATCGAGCTGATCCCCATCCCCTGCGGAGCTCGAAATCATCCCCCGCATTCGAATCTCACTCCGTGGGGGGATTCTCGCTAAATAATTTCTTTATTGGCAAAGGGGTTGGGGTTTCTTTTTGGATTCATAGTCAATTGGTGGCCTCTGATGACGGAAGAATCTCATGCTCCATCTCTTTATTAATGACCCCAAATTTGGCGGTTCAAAAAATCCTGGGAAATGCCTCGTTTGAATGATATTCGACTGTTCGTGTGGGCCTGTCGCGTTCTCATAGTTCACTGCGTTCCGCTGCCAGCTGCTTGCCCGAGGGTGACGTCATTTAATGACGTGTCGCGTCGAGCGCTGACGGAACCAGGGGCCTTTTTCACGAAACTTCTTTACTTTTCTTCAACTTTATTTCGGCTATATTTCGACTTTATCTTTTCTTTAACTTTATTTCGACTTTATCCCGACTCAAAATAAAGAAAAAATAAAGACACCTTTGGAGGTCTCTCTATCTCGACTTTAACCTCTCAGAGGACTACGGAAACTCACCTGTGTGTATTCTTATTAACGTGCCCCAAGCGTTGCATGAGCATTCTTTCTGCCACCTGTGACTTACTGCTCTCCGTGTGAACACGACCATGGCTGCAAGACTTCATCTAATTCGAAGGCAGCTTCGTCGGGAAAGAGTACTTTGCGACCGAAACAGCCCCTTGGAAGAGTACGACGATGAAGGACTCGGGAGCAGATTCAGACTCTTTGTCCTAGTCCAGGCGAAAATACAAAGAGGTACTGCCCGTTGTGGAGCACTACCAATGCAGCTGATAGTATGTGTGGCACTTCGATTCCTG